CAAAATAGTTGTTAATTAATTTGTGAACCCCATTATGAATTTTTAATTCTATAAAAATATAACTTAATTAATTACACAAATTACATTGACTACACTTATTATTTTATATTAAATAAATAATAATATATCAAGAATTACACATCGTGTAATATTTGAATATTATATTTATACACACAATCAAATAGTTTGTAATTAAATGACAGAACAACCACTGAGTGATAATGTTGAAATTTTTGACATTGGTTCATTTAAAACCAGAATCGGATATGCTAATAAAAAAGCACCTGAAGAAGTGTTTAAAAGTGTTGTTGGACACTTAACACGCATGTATAATGGTTGTATGCAGGAAATGAGAGATACTTATGTTGGTAAATATTTTATTCACAATTGTTATTCAATGAATTTGAAATATCCAGTCCAACGTGGTTTAGTTAGTAACCAAGATAATTTTGGTAATATTGTTCATTATAGTATTTTTGATTGTTTAATCAAATACGCATCAGAATTACCAGTTCTGTTAACAGAATCAGTTAATTACACTAAAAACAAGAAAAATATTTGTTTTTAGTTTAATCTTCCATATTTTGTCTTATTTCGAAACAAGTATTATCATTAATGTCGACTGGTAAAAGTACTGGTTATTGTGTTGAATGTGGTGATGGAGTAACACAATTTGTACCAATTTATGAAGGTTCAAAAATTGAAAAGGGTGTGTCGTGTTTAGAACTGGCTAGACAAGATGTGAGTGAGTCCATCGAAAAATTGCAAACCAAAAGCGATTTACTTTTAAAGAATTTAATGAAAGATTATTTCTTGATGAAATAAAAGTAAATATGTGTTACATTGCTCAAGACTTTGAAAAAAAGGAAAAAGAAGCAAACAAACTCGAGAAGATTTATAAACTTCTTGATAAAAAAGAAATAAAGCTTGGTGCCGAAAGATTTGAATATACTGAACAATTATTCAATCCAAATAAATATGGAAAAGATATGAATGGTATTGCTGTTCAAGCTAATGATTCTTTAATGCAAATTGAACCAAATCTAAGAACTGAATTGTACGGAAATATTATGTTGGCTGGTGGAAGCACAATGATGCCTGGCTTTGTCGAAAGATTTAACACCGATCTTACAAAAATTGCACCAGAATCTAGGAAAATAAATGTAACTGCACCACCTAATGGAGACATTGCTGCTAATATGGGTGGCAAAATCTTTGCAAGTTTGTCAACTTTTAAATCTGCTTTTGTAACAAGAGAAGTTTATGATGAATGTGGACCAGATATTATCAACAGAGTTTGCCCATAAAACATTTCTGCTTTTTGTTTATTTCGAATAGTCACAATTAATACAAACAGAATTAATAAATATTGAATATAATATAATATAATTATATATTATATTTATAATATGTTAACTATATTTCGATTAATATTACATTATTTAATTTGTAATTAATGCACTATCTCATAAAATGTAACTTTTTGAAACTGATAAAACAGTTAATATATAAACAAAAATATCAAATAGAGTTTAATAAAGTATTTGAATTTGTTAAGTGTTCTGTATGTTATTATTTTGGATACATATATTCAATGAAAAATAACAATATAACGTGTGTTATCAATACAAAATCAAAGTACCATTCAACGTTTGCCATACACCACAAGTTATAAATTGAAATACTGAGCAAACTCATTTTTACCCACAATAATAGCATCGTGTGAAATTCATCAAAGTTGGAATTTTCAAATTTCATAAAAAGAAAAAACAACATTTTGGATTCGGTGTGGTAATACACTTTTTGAGCGAAACTGTTTATACTGTTATCTGTGTCACCAAACAAATCTGCTAATAATAAACAAAGAACAACCGATGAAATGACAAAAGGCAAAATTAAATACATTTTAATCACATTAATAACACCATAACTGAACACTCCCAATAACAATGTAGTAAGAGAAAATATACTCTATTTATATGTATATGAATCGTATGTTCCGATCATATTTTTGTACACGGCAAATATAATAAAACAATCGATAAGTGCGATAGCCTCATATTTGCACATTTCAAACACCAAATAAAGTCATATTCATTGGAGTGATAAAAACTCGATATTTTCAATATTAAATACAACATATAATTCACGACAATACACAAGAGGTATATTAAAAATGGCACATAATAATAGTTGTCAAAAGCTGTGTTTGTAAAAATAAGTTTATCAATTAACTGCATTAAAATTTTTGTACGAATTTTGTTTATTACAAATTTGACATTATTAGTTCATTGGCATTTACAATTTCACTGTTTTTCTCTTTGATATAAATTTCTTCCACGTTTTGTGGGAGAACAACCTTTGCATTCAAAATTTCGACTTTTTTCAAATTATCAAATATTGAATAATTTCCACTGGAATTCAAAATCAGCACTGTAGGAAGATATAAATGTTGGTATATCTTCTTCTTATTTTCATCGTCCTTTTCATCAAAACGGAAAACGTGTCTCCATGTTGTATTGTAAATATAATGCCCAAAACTTTTTTCAATTAAAAAAGTCCAAGTTGGTAATTTTTCGATTGCATTTTTTATTATTTTTGAATTTAAAAAATTGTCACTTTCAATACAAACAACAACTTTAATTTCTTTTGGTATTTCCATTTGATGAATTCTGTTAATAGTAGTCGTATCAAATAATGCGTCTTCACCGAAATGCATTATCAAAAGTTTAAGATTTGGGTATTTGTGCCAATTTATTTGATACAAAGAGTGTGTGTTGTTATTGTCAATAACTAATTTGGACACTTTTGATGTGTTGGTTGTTTCGACAGTTGGATTATTGTACGTTTTGAATTCAACATATTTTTTTGAAGCGACAGAAACACAATTTGACGGAAAATTGAATCGATTGAAATTTAACAAATTAGAAAACACCCCATCAGTGTAATTCACTTGGGTAACATTTTTGAAATCCATATGAATTGGTACATCAATTTGTTTTAAAATAGTCAAAGTTTCTATATTGGGCAAAATTTGATTGATTATGCATAATGACTGTGTTGGGTCGGAAGAGTCTAATACACTCCATGGGTTTGTTTTCATCATTAAACAACTTTGGAAGGTTGAAAATGAAACATGACAATAATTGATTAGATTGGATACTCGGATGTATAACATAACGTTCATCAAATAAACAGGCTCAAATTTTTTCATTATGTTTTTAAATGTTATTGTTTTTACAGTTCTTGATTTTGTTTATTTATTATTGAAAAGTTTTTGAAAAAAAGTCAGGCTTTTTTTCTCAAAGTACGATATAATCCAGGTTTAATTCACTTAAAATATTGTGGTATTGTCGGGTTTATTATATATTTTTGAGTAAAATTATTTTAAATAATTTTAAAACATAAATAACTGATCACGGTCTCCAGAAATGGGGGGAGGTCGAACACTTAGGTTTTCCAAAATTCGATAAAACTTGGTTTATTTCTTAATAATTATTAGTAAGAAATTGATTATAATTACTTTTTTTCTCTATTTTTTCGGGGAAAACAAGAAAAAAAGAGAACAAAGATTATAGAAAATTGTAAAAGAATAAAAGAAATGGCAAAATAACAACATTTTGAGGCAAAATGATAATTTGGTAAATAATCAAAAAAATTTACATTTTACAATGGGAAAAACAAGTGAATGGACAAAACCTATAAAAAATTACCATTTTTTAAAGTGAAATTTAATACTATATTTTTTAGTAAATATACTATACAATGTTA